ATCTTAATTACCAATTAAAATGCCAAAAGATATTTATAAATAATAAATCTTGTAAGCTTGAATGGGGTTACGCAAAAGATATGGTGGTTATCACTCACTATTGCCACACCCTTTTTATTAAAAATATATTGTAAACCTACTGTGTGCCAACCATGACTTACCACAGAGAATTAAGGGTCTATAGGGGGAACATGCCATGTAAGCAGTCATTTCAACACTCTGTTGTGAGTTCTGCAGAAGAGTGTGTGTGTGTGTGTGTGTGTGTGTGTGTGTGTGTGCACGCACATTCTCAGCCACTCAGTCATGTCCAACTCTTTGCGACCCCGTGGACCATAGCCCACTGGGTTCTTCTGTCTGTGGGATTTTTCTGGCAAGAACCCTGGTGCGGGTTGCCATTTCCTTCTCCAAAAGAGTATGTGCAAGGCTTCTAACAGTTTCACAGTACAGTTGTTAGGGAAAAATTAGAAAAAGGAAAGAAATCTATATGTTGGTCAGGGTCAGTTTCTTCACAGTGTAAGCAGCAGTATACACATATCAAATACATTACAAAATAGCAGTGGGAAAATACTCATGTTTGACAGCTGATCTCAAACACAGCTGAAGTGGAGTATTCTTAGCATGGCAGAGACTCTATTTATTCATGATATCTAATACACTCTGACTAATTTGCTGAAAATATTTCCATTTAGGAAGGTTTTGGAATCCTGTGTTATAGGACTGTCCTTAGTGAGTGCCTTCTAAATTCTGGAAGCATCTATCAAGATTCACTATTTTAATCTACAGATCTGTAACTGGGCAAGAAGTGTAGCTTAATGGAAAGGACTTAGGTTTGTAGTCAGGCAGAATGTGTTAAAAAAAAAATCTTGGCTTTTGCAGTTAGACTCACACTTAGCCTCTCTGAGTAAGCCTGTTTGGTTTTTTTTTTTTTTGCCTATAGAAAAAAGATATGTTCTTACATAGTATTCTTTACAATGCTTTGTATTTCATGTTGCTTAGCATATAAAGCACTCTTAAAAAGTTAAATGCTTGCCACATTTGCTTTATGTCATCTTTGTCATGTAAATAAAAATCACTGAATTTCTTGGAGTAGGAAAAATAACAGCAGCAAACAGCCTTTGTAACAAGTAAACTTTCTCTGAAACCAAGATATCAGCTGAGGTCAACGATGTCTTTGTGGGTATAAATAAAGTGAGCTCCAACTCTCTAACTCCTATCTTTGAAGAATTCCAGAGGCTACACCAGGATTACTTGATAGACTTTGCCTGTGCCCCCGGGAAATATCTATAGAGTGTCTAAGACTAGCTAGCTGTCAGCTCTGTCTTCAGGTTCCTGTATCCGCTGGATTCTTGAGTTCCTTGGGCATCATGTGCTTCAACGCTTCTTCCCTTCTGCCAGGATGAGCCTGATGAATAGAACAGCCCTTCCCCCCTGAGTTCCCTCAATTCTATACATAGGTCTGTGTGTCTAGCAGACTTGGATAGTCCTGCAACAGGTCACATAGTAGCTTTACAAACAAAACTGAATTTTAGGCATCATGGTTTCTTACTAGCTACCTTTCTTCCCGTAGTACATACAGCCTCATAGCACACTTCTATGAGCATACCCCCATGCTCCTTGAAGTTGGCTTCCAGTTCTGCTTGCAGGGTCTCCCCTCCGAGGTTGCCCCCATCCATTCCTAAATTCTTCCCTTTATGAGGCAGAGTCACTGACTCCTCCTCAGCCACTAGCCAAGTTTTACTTTTCCAGAGATACAGAAGGCTTGAGTACACATAATCATCTCTTCCAGGATCATATTTGCTCCTTGCTTGTTCTTCCAAGTGACTTCCATTGACCACTTCCCTCGTAATCATGTCTTTAACTGCTCCCAAGGACTGGCATTGGCCTTACTACTTCAGTTGTTTGCTTTTTATCCCTCCCTCAGCATCATAAGTAGAAAGTGAAAGGGTCAGTTGCACAGTCCTGTCTGACTCTTTGCAACCCCATGGACTGTAGCCTACCAGGCTCCTCTGTCCATAGAATTCTCCAGGCAAGAATACTGGAGTGGGTAGCCATTCCTTTCTCCAGGGTATCAGTAAAAGGGAACATGAAAAATATTTCTTTTCTTTCTGATAGAAATCACATCACTCTCTTGTGGGGCTGGAAATAGCTTTATCATTTTTGTTTTTAGAAAGTTTTTTCCTATTAGAGGGAATTCCTCAAACTCTGTTTTCCTCATTTTAGTTGAGATTTTTGTTTTGATTTTTGAGAAATCCTGAATTCTTATTAGGCTTGTTTCTTTATCTGAAAAATTAAAAGATTGGATTAGATGATCTCTAACAATCCTTATTTGTTTAAAATTATATATTTATTGGGCTGCTTTTGTGGTTCAGCTGGTAAAGAATCCGCCTTCAGTGCAGGAGACCTGGGTTCAATCTCTGGGTTGGGACGATCTCCTGGAGAAGGGAAAGGCTACTCTCTCCAGTATTCTGGCCTGGAGAAGTCCATGGGGTTGCAAAGAGTCAGACATGACTGAGTGACTCTCACTGTCACAAATATTTCTTAGGTTATAATTTTTTTTTTATTTAGCAATTACACAGATGGCTATCAGTTATCAGTTAATTAAAAAACCTGTCATGTATTTTTGTATTTTGAGTGTGTGAACTGATGAGTCAAAGCTCTAATGTCACTTTTATTTCATTCTCCCTTCCCCATTTGGCTGCTTCTGTAAAGAATGTAGGCTTTAGGGTCACAGATTCTTGGCTTGAGACCGAATGCTTTGTTTGTAGATGTTCATTTGAGAAATATTATCTAAAATTTCTGACCTATAGTTTTTAAAAAAGGTAAAAGAGAATAATATAGACAACTACCTCTTCTAGTTGCTGGGAGGAATAAAAGATTATTATCTGAAAGTAATCTGTAACTTGTCTGGCATTGTTAATGTTAATTAATTTGAGAGGAGGGAAGAATTATAAAGTGAGAAAGAAGAGGGGGAAAGGGTTCTATAGCTTGGTTCGCATCTCTTGGTGATGGGGGAAAATGGTCACTGGTGTTGCACCTTCTTCCTGTCTCAGTCATTGACAACACACCACCTCAAGGGCAGGTGTGAATTGGTTTAGTTGACCAGTACTGCAAGGCACAAAACTGCCTGCTTGAATAAATGTTGTGTTTTTAATTGGTATGGAGATATCAGAAGAAAATTATGGACCCATTGATTTCTTTGCACTTTTTGAAAGTCAGTCATACAAAGATCTTGACAGCATAGTTGTCATATTGTTGCCTATTTCATGCATATCTTTATTATATAATATAATCATTGACTGTCATGGAATGTTAAACTGTAAGAAACAGTATCAAAGAGCTGCTGGAGGAGGTAATAGAATTATAAAATATTGCAGGATAGCATTGCCCAAACTCTTAAGGGCTTCCTGTTGTTAACTTTGTGATGATGGTGAATTTCCTTTTCTCTCATTAAGATGTTAAAGGGTTTTGACCCACACTTTAGCCATTCACTGTTGTGCTCTTTTATAGCCTTGCCTGATGGAGCCCCCAACCAGTTGGGTCAGGTTATCACTATTCTCCTGCCCAACACTGTTACCTTCTCTCTAGTCTCTGCTGAAACCACTAGCTTCTCTTCTTCTCCTATGCCCTCCAGAACTCTGGAATTCATCTCTATATACAGAGTCAGACACTTAGTTTAATAACACTTGCTTTCTTTTTCTAGTGTGTACATCTTAACTTTCAGCGATTTTTGTTTCATATAAATATGTTCTAGTCTTTCCAATTTAAAAAAAGGTGGGGGGGACAAAATTAGACAATGCTATATAGTTTGCTCGATCTCTTTTCATCTCCCGGGGAGAGCTTTTTCTTCCTTCAACTTGTCTCTCCTTCACAACATCCAGTGTAGATTCTGCCATGAGTTATTCAGCATCCTCCAAGAAACCAACTATTAAACAGAATTAGAGAGGCAAAGGTTTATTGTGGGAATAGCTGTGATGGACAAGAGGGAGAAAGTGCTAAGAGTAGGTAGGCTGAGCCTTCAGATTGATACAAGCCTGTAGACTCTGAAGTAAGGGAAGGACAGAAGGATTATTGCAAAGGAAACAGTATTCTTAAATGCTGTGCCAGTTGAAAAAAATCTCAGCCATACCAAAGGAGTACCCCAGAGGCAAGAATGTATAGTAGAGGAGTCCCAGGTTCAAGCAGAACTGGTTCAGCTGTACACTCCCAGAGGTGGAGCACCACACTTCTGTTGATGCTCAGTAGAAGCACCAGATGAAGTATTGATACCTCAATAGAGGTATCAGGTACCAGTTAGTCTGGTGAAGTTACTTTCTCAAGGCTCAAAAATAACTCTGTGTCTCTTCTCTATCTTTGCAACTTTCAATGAGCTACTTCCTATACATTGGCAAAAATTGGAGTTCTCTTGAAGTATATGCCCCACCACAAACTCACAAATAGTCAATAAAAGTATTGCAACCAACCATCCACTTCACTTGGCCTATGTGGTTACAATAACTTATAAGTTTATGCTACTTTCACCAGCAGGGTACCAGAGCTCTTGCATGTTCTTAACTCTAGAAATTGCCATTCAGTATTGCATTTTAAACATGCAGAGGAAATTTTATAATCTGGAACCTTAGTGACAATGTTTTACTTAGTGCTAATACTTTTTGAATGTTTGAAATGTATCTGTTTGGGATATTTTATATGTATGAATTCTTTCCATCTCTGTCATTGCCTTTTGAGGTAGATTGTATTATTATAGTATTGACATTTCACAGAAGATGATACTGAGGTAAAGAGAGGTTAAATAAATCACCCAAGACCACATGGCTGGAAAGTGGTGAAACCAGTATTCAAGCCCAGGCCATTGGTCTCCAGAGCCCTCATAGCTTCTGCATTTCCTGTAGCACTAATATCCAGAACACTTTTCTCTGTAAAATTGTTAATTGCAAAATGTTGACCCAGTGTCTACTTCAGAGCATATGTATCATGCAGCAATATTGCTTTCTGTCTTTCAGGTCCCTGCACTCCTAATCCATGCCATAATGGAGGAACCTGCGAAATAAGTGAAGCATACCGAGGAGATACATTCATAGGCTATGTTTGTAAATGTCCCCGAGGATTTAATGGGATTCACTGTCAGCACAGTAAGTCATCCACGGTCTTTGTGCTCTTATTATCATTGATTGCCAAGTATGCAAGTCATCATCATTCTTGTTGGGAATAGAATGATAGAATCTTTGAGCCTGCTTCTCTCACACTGAATACACCATATCCCCAGCTGAGGACTGATTCCTAGACTGTGTTTCTATTCTCCCAAGGGTGTGGGAAGCTAGCAATCTTCTATCAGCCCTTTTCACTGTCATTCAGCCATACTTGAAAAATGCTGCTTTTATATTGATCTGATATCTATGTCTTTCTTTCACTGTGTCCTGAAGCTACATTCTTCGAGCTTCCCAGACATTTTTCTGTTTGGATTCAGAGATGATACCTAAAAGAGAAAACTGCCCACTCTGTCCTTTCTATAAGCCAGTTTCCTCCATCTCACATGTTAGCATTTTTAGTGTGATAGTCTTTGAAAGTTCCAGAAGGGTGTTACCTGCACTTCTCTATTTTATCCTTGTTCTTGTTTATCCTGAAGTTAAACAAAATTTGTCCACTTGTGATGATTTCTTCTTAGAAGTATGACTCAACATTATTGTCCTTCTAAGTATTTCTAACAGTAAGAATATGCCTTTGTATACTCTTACCCTCTTCATCTGAGAACCCCATTGCATAGGGGAAAGGAAATAGTTCAGATGTTACGCCCTTAGGTGTAAACCCTGCCTCTAGACACTGGACAATATCCCACTATGAAAACTTTTCTCATTTCAAGGGGGAATTCCACTGCAGTGTGTGTGCTCCACGCAGGCAGCCCTTAACTGAGGGGCTCAGGTGGGGTGGCCAGACTGTTTTCTTCTGGATACTACTCTGACACTATGTCACAGATCTTTGGAAATAAGTAGGATTAGTAATATCCTCTTTAGGTGCTCAGGTGAATATCAAGGCAGTCAAGATTCTGGGCTCAAATCCCTGTCTTTCCAGAGATGTTTTGTGATATGCATGTGTAAAGGCTGAGCAGTGATACTATAAGAAAAAATAAGCCATGGTGACTTTGAACTCAGCCTGAGAAAAATCAGGAGCTTCTCATTCCTTGTTGGTGACTGAACCCAGTTACAAGCAGTGTATGTAGTACAATAGGCTGTATTATAACAGACCTCTACAGAAATTCCACAAGTTCCTCAGAGCCAGGATGCACTCTATAATTTTTTGCTGGTGGTTGAAAAGCTGGCTCTGGCTGACAGACTCAACTTTTCCTTTCTCATTCCTCACACCATGGTCTTAATCATCACTGTAGTATTCATGGCTCATGTATTCATTGCCCACTCTAGGCCGCTTGCCATCCCCCCATCCCTCTCCCTCTGATCAATATCCTATGCCTCCTTCAAGACTCAGGTCCTGTAAGACCTTAAACACATGCTTAAGGTTTATGGGAAACTGGAGGCTGAGGGATTCAATTTAGAACTGACTGGGATTTTGTGAGCTAACCAAACTGGTGCCTCTTCTCTGAAGTGCATCATTATTAGAAGCAGCATAGACTGGAGGGAAAACAGACTGCATTTGGAATCAGAGACCTGGATTTGAGACTTGACCTCTAAGTTATTGGATAAGGGACCCTGAGCCAGTCCCTTGACCTTTCTGTTCCTTAAGACATAGAATTAGAGGAAATGAACTACAAATAAATGATCTTTGGTTCATAGAGGATAGAAGAGTATTATGGTTCAGTGGGTAGCTTGCTTACTGTACATAGGTTATCAAGTCTCCCTCTTTATAGATAAAATTGAAAAGGATTATATATTGGGAAAGCAAATTTAGAAGCGCTGGAAGCCTGGAGAGCTTTCCCAAGTGGGATAAACAAACAAACAAACAAAGCAGCTCTTTAGTTCCTTGCAATAACTGCTAGGGGTGTGAGTGTGTTTTCACAGTGGTAAGAGTTTTATGGCTGAGAACTTTGCTATTCAAAGTGTAGTCATGCATCAGCATTGCCTGGAAGCTTGTTAGGAATGAAGATTTCCAGGTGCCACTTCAAACCAACTAAATCAGAGACTGTATTTCAAAATGATCCCATCCCCAGTTGACTCCCACACATGTTGAAGCTTGAGAAATACTGCACAAGGCTTTCAATAGCTAAAAGTAGTTGTCTCATAGGTTAAGGTAACAACTTCTGCATTCAGTTACATAAACATGCGTTATAGCCAAAATATTTATTATGTTTTGGCTAATAAAAGCTATATTGAAAATCAATGAAAATGAAAGATGGACTAATATAATAAGAACATTTCATTTGGGAAAAGAATTGAAAACGATTCCTCAGACATCCATATATAGGAGGGCTTATTAATTTAGTTCTGTATGACAGATTGTGAAATAAATATTTTTGGGACTATAGCTTAATAGCTAAAGAATTTTAGGTTTTATGATATAGGAGTGGCAAATACATATTTAGTGTAACAACTATTTTGTCACTGTGTTACAAATTAGAAGAAAGGTTTCTAGTGCTAGCATTATTATATATGCATTTTTTTTAAACAAATTAGATTTTGGCTTTAAGAACAATTCTAGGTTTACAGAAAAACTGAGCAGAGAGTACAGACAGTTCCCATATATCCTTCCTCCTCCGCAGTCTTCTCTGTTATTAAATTCTTACATTAATATGGTATATTTGAGTCAGGAGGTTTTGCTTGGTGGCTCAGTCCAGAAAGAATTCACCTGCAATGGAGATCCAGGTCTGATCTCCACAGCCCGCCTAAATTCCTTTTGGCTTTCCTGCTGGCTCAGATGGTAAGGAATCTGCCTACAATGCAGGAGACTCAGGTTCGAACCCTGGATTGGGAAGATCCCCTGGAGAAGGGCATGGCAACCCATTCCTGTATTCTTGCCTGGAGATTTCCCTGGACAGAAGAGCCTGGCAGGCTACAGTTCATGTGGCCAGAAAGAGTCAGAAATGACTGAGCGATTAACACCTTTTAACACTTTGCTGTAATTGATGAACTGACATTAATATATTAAGTAAAGTCCATAGTTTGCATTAGGATTTGCTTTTTGTATTGTACAGTTCTATGGATTTTAAAATATGCATATCATGTGTCCTCCAAAGCCTCATACAGAATAGTTTCACTAACCTAAAAATCTTCTCTGCTCTGTTTATTCATCCCTCCCTCCTTATTCCCAACCCCTGGCAACTACTCATTTTTTTTAACTGTCTCTGTGATCTTGCCTTTTCCAAAACGTCATACAGTTGGAATTCTACAGTGTGTAGGTGGAATCATACAGCATGTAGGCTTTTCAGACTAACTTGTTTCACTTAGCACTATGTATGTAAGTTTTCTCCACTTTCTTTTGTGACTTGATAGTTCTTTTGCTTTTAACTGGTGAATAATATTCCACTTATGGATGTACTACAATGTGTTCATTCATTCACCTATTAAAGAACATCTTATTAATAGTTGCTTCTCCTTTTGGCAATTATGAATAAAGCTGCTATAAACATTCATATGCAGGTTTTTGTGTGGACTTGAGTTTTCATGTCTTTACTTGACTAAACACCTAAGAATGCAATTCTTATGGTAAGAGTACATTTAGTTTTGTCAGAAACTGCCCTATTGCCTTCCATAGAGGCTGTGATATTTTATATGCTTGTCAGCAACGAATGAGAGCTCCTACTTTCACCAGCTTTGGCGGCTGTCAGCGTTTTGTATTTCAGCCATTACAAATGCTTTTTTTGGTAATGAAAATAGCATGAGGTTATAACTTTAGAAGACTTATATAGATTAGTATTGGTTTTTAATATAGAATTATCAAATTATGTGTTTTTAAAATATCATATTAATGTGTACATATATATATGTGTGTATTCATATATTTATGTTTGTATGTATATATGTGTGTGCATGTGTTAGTTATAAGATGTAAATTATAGGATAAAATGAATACCAGAATGTCCAGAAGTTGAAATTTTGAAAGGCATTTTTAAGCAAGCACTTTTCTGGTGAGAGCTACATTTTGGGCTGGCTAGAAGGAATCATATTTTATTTGTTGCCTAGTTACAAATCTAATGCCTTAGGAGAGGACTCTTTCTTCATTCTCAGAATTCTTTGCCCATCTTACCACTGAAGGCATTCTCTGAATTCTTCCATACTCGTGCATAGCTTTGGAACCTTCAGTTTCTTTTAAAAGAATGTTTTCTTGGTTCCTATTTTGTAAGGAAGAAGAGATGATCCAGGTGGCCACCAAGCCCTAAAAAAAAAAAAAGTTAAAGAAGGCCCTTGTTATCAGATTAGCTCAAGCTAATGCACTCTTGAATCCCTTTTCAAACTGAGAAAGTTGACCAGAGAACACCACAAAATATAAAACTTTCCTGTTTGTGTATGTGTGCTAAGTTGCTTCTGTCCCGTCCAAGCCCGCCAGGCTCCTCTCTCCAAGGGGTTCTCCAGGCAGGAATCCGGGGGTGGGTTGCCATGTGCTTCTCCAGCAGATCTTCCTGACCCTGGAATAGAACTCGCATCTCCTGCGGCTCCTGAATTGCAGGTGAATTCTCTACTGCTGAGCCACCAGGAAAGCCCTTTCCTCTTATGCAAAATGTTGTAAACCAGCTTGGTCTTAGTTTTATGCTATTGACTAATAGATTCATACATTCAACAGATACTTAATGGGGACATGAGTCATTTTACTTTTTTAACATATGTCTCACTTTTCTCAGAGTTAGCCAATGGTATTTGCTATTTTGACAATCACTGTTAACTGGATTAATTACATATTTGGCAATTACTTATGGTTTCTGACAGGTAGTGCTTCTTAAACAAACAGAATCTGATCCCTCTTCAGCTCTATTNGCTTCTTAAACAAACAGAATCTGATCCCTCTTCAGCTCTATTGAATCATAGTCTTTTGTTGGTATCCTGGATATAGTTAAAATAATCCATATGATCCTTAAGTGAATCAAACTTTAGGACTACTGGCTAAAAGAATGACCTGTAATTTCCAAATTGTATGGGAGGAAGCTTGTTTTCAGGGAGAGAATTCTGGATTAGACCTGGGTTTCTGATGC